TAGTCAGTGATCTTTGTAAACCAGAATTTGGCGAAGTTCATAACGTTTTGGTGAGCTTGGCGGTATGGTTCTCATAAGTTCCAAAAAATGTACATTGCGATATTTAATATTTTCTAAGCCATTCTACTGATGAATAAAAAAATTCTTAAATCATCCGTATTTCATACAACTATTTGATATTATATTATAACCGTCGTACTCAGGACCCAATTTTTTGGGTTTACTATTACTCATGTCCAACTCCGTAGCCATTTAATTTTGAACCCAATCCAGAAGACAAGGTAACTCATGGATCAAGTATTGGGAGAAATTTGGGGGACTTTTTGATGGAACTAACCTGCAATTTGCGTTATATGGAAAGGAAGACCATGAGAACCTCCCACGGTTAGCCTGACGGCAAGGGGACTCTAACCCATGCTACTGAGGTTATTTTACGTCAGCACCGTGGTTGCTGTGTGGCGAGTGCGGAATTCGTATCAACCAACCATGGCTAGGCCTCATTCGAAGGCGAACGCTCTATCAGCTGAGCTAATAAGTACTTGTTAGAAACGCAAACAAACGCAAATACTTGATGATTTCATATTTTTTAGCGTTTGTGAGTTTTGAAGTTCCTACGCCACCAAAATTTTCTTTATTCAAAAGTTAACTTTAAACTGTCGGTAATCCTTTTATTTTAAACAGCACAAAGTGCGTGTTTAAGAAAATGCACAGAGCATAAAAATGCGTGCTTCAGAAAATGAACATAACTCAAAATGCGTGTTTTAAAAAATGGACACAGTTCAAAAAGTGTCTTTTCAATGTTCAATCCAATTTTAACGAAAAAAATGAGGAATTTCGTTCGTACTTTTACATTTCCTGGCCTATTTAAACATTAAGCATATTTATTGCAGGGCTAAGTCACGGACTTTGGGGTGAACAGTTATAAATTTTCAGGCTATCTCTTCGAATTTAGAACGATAAAGAGAGTTTCAAAAATCTAAATTCCCACTGCACAAATTTCTACTCGTATTGCAAATTTGAAGGACTTTAAAAAACAACTGTAGAGTTATAAAGTCCTTTTTTTTAAATGTACCAAGTGATTCACGTAAATGAGCAATAGTACATTATAAATTAATTTGGATTCATTAGTTTATTTTTTATGAAAAGAACATTACTCATAAAAGAAGTTTAAAAACGGAATCAAATGCTACGTCCTTTTTCTTAAATAGATATGTCAATTTCTTAAACACGCATTTTCAGCTGTGTCCATTTTTGTAAACCCTCATATTCAGCTGTGTCCATTCTTGTAAACCCACATTTTCAACTGTGTCCATTTTTATAAACACGCATTTCTAGCTACATCCATAATACCCGTCGCAACATTCTTTTGTAAGAATTATGAATACACGACACTTGAAAATGATAATTTTAACGAATAGTGTGAACATAAAAATAGAAAACTATCTGACAATAGTGACCTCTAACAAAACGATTTCTGATGATATTTAGAGTTTTATGGTTGTTTGTTCGGATTTTAGGTATCTGTACGTAATTTACCGTGACGACGATGTTTTCCGAAATTACGCAACTGGATCGTTAATAGGATTGTTTTCAATTATCTCCAGACGCGATAATCACTTTCTTCTTGTGATGTGCACTTAATAAACATTCACATATTTTCCTCCTCATGACATATATGACGTGATATTTCCACGTGACAACATTCTTCATGACAATAGAGAGCGTGATTTTTTTTTTCTTTCTGTAAATGGCTATTGTTATTAGATCAGTGGCCAAGTACAATCTACGTCACAAAATGTAACTCTGTTTTGGATTTGCTACACGTACAGTGTACTAAAAAAAAATTAATAAAAAAAAGGATGAAGACCGAAACTTAAAAAACTTTTTGATTTAATGATCAGAGTTTTGCGTATCATGATGAGGAATGAGACGCAACCATGAGGATTGATTCTCATGACCAAATACAGCAACACATTTAATACACTAGTTTGGCCGGGATAACCTAATTGGTAGGGCGCTGGACTCACGATCGTGAGATCCTGTGTCCATCCGGCCGAAGACCCCCGTGTATTAAATGGTGACTGGCGCTCATGAAATCTGTCGGGTCACAAAGTCCTCGAAGTTCCCCTAACAAATCAATACCTAAGAGGGTATTGAATTGATGATTGATCATTCTCTGGTTTAGATCAAAATTACGATCTGTGGATGAATGAATAGGTCCTCATTGTAAAACGGGCTATGACGTGTAGAAGTCGTGTTCTTGGCCATAGATGGTGCTACTGCAAAACAAGAAATGCATCCTCTGTCTTAAAAATCTTTTGGATTTCCATATCAGGCCTGTTAGTATTTATTCACAAGTGGCATAAGTAACAACAACAGAGAAGAGTTTTCAAAACTTTACCATTTCCGTTATTATAAGATGGAATCAGCTTGATTCTCTCTTAAAAAAGGAATCCCCTTAATCTTATATTTCAGAATATTGACTCACGGAAATCGATTGAATCAGAATATACACTGAGAGGAGTTGAGATAAATCCACGCTCAGTAATTAGATAACAATTAAAAATCTTTATCCCAATTGGTTATAACTAAAGCGTAAGTTATGCCAGAAATTTCCTTTTTAGTTTCCCCTACAATTTCAGATTCATAAGTCATTTTCCCATTTTTTTTTAAAAAATTCTTTATCCTCTACACCTGTAATGTTTTTTGAAGAAAATGAAATATCGTTTCCCCATTATCCATTTGAAAATCCCTCTTAATGAGAAGCCATAATAATAAAAGTCAGATTTTTAAGACAGATATTAGGGACAATTAAGCGATTAGAGGCAGGGAAGAATTTATTGCATGGTTAAAGCGATGAAAGGGAATCTAATGATAAGGGAAAGCATTGATTTCATTAATGTTTCCCCTTCTCTCCGAGATAATTATAATGACAACGCAAAGAAGATAAAGTGAAAATCTAGAACTTAATTATATTTTTGTTCATGTCATCATTCATAAAATAATCCATATTTTTGTCTTCAAATTTACATTGTGAACATCAAATTATACATAAATAGTTATTATGCATCTAATATTTCGTGATCTATGTCAAATATAACTAGTAATGTCTGCCGATCATTTATAACCTTACATTAGTCTTGATAGAAAGAACCACGGAGCAATGTCATATAAGGAAACAAGTTCGTACCCCACTTGAACGTGTAGAACTAAATTCGTTAGTTTATACCAAAAGTTCATTTTAGTAAAAGCTGAAAATATTTTTAAATTGTGGTTAAATTAATCGTAAAAACTAAAATACATTCCTTTCAGAAGTTTCTGAGTTCGCTGTTTGATTTCACTAAACAATTTAAGCATTTTCTCCAAATAAGTCGTGAAGAATATGAACTGTCGTTCTTGTCGTGAAGGTTGGTATGTACGACAGTATAAAGAATTGACTTTTGCCGGCGGGTCCCGAAGTACACAATGGGCTATTGGCGACTGATCTTTAAGACACGGTTTCCAGGAGATCACCGAAGTCTAGCATCACTGGCTGCGGTCAGTGCGGGTGGCTGACTACTTGGATCAGTCTGCGTAGGGACCGAGGGTGTGAGGTATAGGCCCTCGTTAAACTGTTCTACCGTACAGTACTCGACTTCACGAATATGTCGTTGGGCTACCGAAGCGGGGGTGCAACCCCCTCTGCAGTGATGGATTGTGATGGCATGTCTTTGAACATCCTAAGGGATGTTTCCCAGACCGTCGCCAATAGCCCATTGTGCAGCTGTAGTGCGACGTAAATGAACTACAACTACAGCAACAACGACTTTTGCCAGCCGAGTGGTCAGCGTGCCACGCTGGGAAGCGAATGACTGAGGGTTCGAATCCCGATGCGGCATATATGTTTCTCTGTGTGTTGTTCTCTGTTGTGCATGTGTGAATGTGGCCCAACCAATAAACGGGTATCTGCAGCAGTGTGGCGTGGGTAATGTTGCTCGTCTCCATGACACATTCACAGATGCCCACTGGGCAAGGTTAAAGGAGCAACACTTCTTTCAAATTGAAGAACGAATGTTCAGTGCCTGTCGAAGGAAAAAAGGAATGACTTAATTATAAATCCTAATTAAATTGAGAGAGAGCTATATTAGAATTTATAAGAAGGTATCGCAAGAACTTACAGTCACTCGAAAAAATAGCTATTTTTTCGAGTGACTGTATTACAAGATGCATCCAAGGTTATAAGAGTCGAACCCGCTACCTCTTCAATTTCGAGTATTTGGCATAAAAAACACTTCCTTATCATTGAGAGAGCATATTTTCAATCTGACCATGGTCCCGCAGTGGACTGATCGTTAAGACACGGTTCCCAGCAGATCACCGAAGTCAAGCATCACTGGCTACGATCAGTGTGCGGATGGGTGACCACTTGGATCAGCCTGCGTAGGGACCGAGGGTGTGCGGTATTGGTCCTCGTTAAACTGTGCTACCGTAAAGTGCTCGACTTCGCGCGCAGGTCGTCGGGCTACCGAAGCGGG